AATGTCCTAAAGCATTTCCTCTCTATTTTCTTCTAGTAGTTTTACAGATTTAGGTCTTACACTTAAGTCATTATTCAACTTTGAGTTGAGTTTTGTATATTGTGAGAGATAAGAGTTTAGTTTGATTTTTCTGCATATGCATATTCAGTTTTCCCAGCACTATTTGTTGAATAAACTGTCCCTTCCCCAGTGAATGTTCTTGGTCCCTATGTTGAAAATCAGTTGGCTGTAAATATATAGATTTATTTCTGGGATCTCTGTTTTGTTCCATTGGTCTGTTTGTTTTGTTTTTATGTCAGTACCATACTGTTTGGTTCTTATAGCTTTGTACTATATTTTTAAGTCAGGTAGTGTGCTGTTTCCAGCTTTGTTCTTTTTGCTCAGGATTGCTTTGACTCTTTGGGGTCTTTGTGGTTCTATACAAATTTTAGGATTATTTTTCTATTTCTGTGATAAATGTCATTAGTGTTTTGATAGAGATTGCATTGAATCTATAGATCACTTCTAGTAGCATGGTTATTTTCACAATATTATGGTTATTTTCATAATATTATGGTTGTTTTCACAATATTCTTCTAATATCCAATATCCTCAATGAACATGGATGCAAAAATACTTAACAAAATACTCACAAGCTGAATTCAACAGCACAATAAAGAGATCATTCACCATGATCAAGGCAGATTCATTCCAGGGATGCAAAGATGATTCAACATATACAAATAAAAGAAATGTAATATATCACATCAACAGAATTAAGGACAAAACCCATATGATTATCTCAATAGATGCAGAAAAAGCATTTGATAAAATTCATGCTAAAAACTCTCAACAAGTATAGAAGAAGCATGCTTCAACATAATAAAGACCATATATAACAAACCCACAGCCAACATTTTACTAAATATGGAAAAGTTGAAAGTTTTTCATCTAAAATCTCAAACTAGACAAGGATGCTCATTTTCACCACTTTTATTCAACATAGTACTGGAAATCCTAACCAGAACAATCGGGAAAGAGAAAGAAATAAAGAACATCCAAACTGGAAAGAAGGAAGTCAATTTGTCCCTGTTTGCAGATAGCACGAGCTTATATATAGAAAAACCTAAAAGCTTCACCAAAAAATCTCTTAGAACTTGTGGTGCTCTATATTCCAGGAAAACAGTGCGTGGGCTGCCCAGCATAGTCATACCCCATTCCCAGGCCCGAGCTGAAGCAGTACATCAGCCTCTGGGGTATCAGTGCCCTGGCCAAGTTGAGCTGCTGTGCATCCCAGGATTGAGAAGATGTGGTACCATTACCCTATATGCTATTAAAACTCTCCCTTGCATGATTACTGACCAAGGAATTTGCTATTTTTTTTTTTTAAGTTCAAAGGGACTCAGAGTATTTCTAGGCAACTTCAAAATCTGCTCCTGAAAAGTCTGAGTTTTACCTCTTTCTGAAGGTCTGCCCCTACATTTGTGGGCCTGTGGCAAGACTACAAATAGAGGTCTACTTGCCATAAATTTCAATATTTAGTTATTGATTAAACTGACAATCTGTTAAATATTATATACTCTGGTGCCTTCTTTTGATGAACATAGCTTCATAATAACTTAAAAGGCCAGGTTATAATTCTTGGATTCCTTGGTGATCTGCCCCTGATCTGCCCCCCTCCCTTCCCATCTCTAGCTCCATCCTGTAAGGTAGGGTCTTGTGAGAAACTCCATCCTTAACAAAACAAAAACAAAACAAAACAAAACAAAACAAAAACAGCTATCTTTGGCCACGTCTTAGTATTAGGGTTGAATATACTAGGAGCAATCTTACCTCCTTACCTCCTACCAATCTTACCTCCTTACCTCCTACCAATCTTACCTCCTTACCTCCTACCAATCTTACCTCCTTACATTCTACCAATCTTACCTCCTAGGATGATTGACCTAGGAAGAATCCCACTCAGGTCCTGGAAGAGAGCTTGGAGCCATTCAGGCAGGGGAGTCTGGGATCCTGGGAGTCCAGGGTGTAGTCTAGAAGTGGGGACACAAGCTCCAGAGTGGCATGCTCTGTTTCTGGGTAGATTCCTTGGCTCCAAAAGTGTGTGGCTGGGGGAGGGTCAGAGTGGCTTCCTCTGAAGCGTGAGATCCAGGGCATGAGCTACTTTTGCCCTGGTCTGAGGGTGGTACTGCTCCTCAGTTTTGCTTGGCCATGGTGGAGACAGAGTAGCTCAGGCCAATCACATTGCCAGCAGATGAAGGCCAAGGCAATGTATAGCTAGTACTTCCTCCTACCAAGTAGTGATAATGAACTAAGAAAATCTATCTTGGTATGAAGTTTCTGGAAAGATTCCCTGCAGGTCCTTGGAACCCCCTTACTCTTCCATTTGTACTGACTTTTCTTAGCCTGGGGATCACTCATACAACTGTAAATTTGAGATTATTGTCTGAATTATTTCTTCATTTTGCTCTTCCTTAGCTTCAGTTATCTTGATCATTCAGGGGAATAATTCATTGACTGGACTCCAGATACTTGCTGTTTAATCTCCTCTTTTCTTTGGGATATAGATGTTCTTTGTTTCACAGATCTATAGATTCATGATTTTATCTAGACTTAGAATTTAAAGGAAGATTTTTTTTTCTCTATTCTATTAAATTCCAAGTTATATTTGCCACCACTGAGAAAGAAATATAAATAGAGTTAGGGAAAAATACATTATGAGTTATTTCCTATATGATGCTTCTTGAGAAATTTTGCTGGGAAGTTTAAAAATAAAATTTTATTTTCCAAATTTAATAATAATAATTTATTTCATTCATAGAGGAGAATAAATTGAGTTTCTTTGTGCCATTTAAGTATCAGATATGATTTTTTCTTTTTTTTTTATCTTTCACTAAAAGAATGAGAATCTATCAGATATGATTTTGACAACACTTAAGTGCACCTATGATAGTAACATTCATTGGGTGTTGGGCAGGTGGGAGGGGGAGGAGGAGACGGGTATATACACACCTAATGGGTGCGATGAGTATCCATCTGAGGGATGGACACACTTGAAGCTCTGACTCAGGTGGGGCCGAGAAAATATATGTAACCTAAACATTTGTGCCCCTATAATATCCTGAAATTAAAAACAAAAGAAAATGTGATTTTGAGGTAAAAATTAATGTATAATATTGCATTTTGTCAGAAAGGTAACTTGAAGATAGTTAAAAAAATGAACTTGAAAATATTTGCTTATGTAGCATAGGCTTTTTAAAAGTTATTTTTAAAGACTGAGGCATTAGGCACCTGTCATTTTTGCCAGCTGGTGTAGATGTTAAAAATTACTGTCACTTTTCTGCCTGCTACTCTATTTTGCACCTGCTGCTACTTGAGTTATGGGCATTTCACACATGGTAATTTAATAAGGTTGGTTCCCATGACGGTGTATTAAATGTTATCCCACTGGGGGGTTAAAGCAGTTTTATAAGGACTTGAGGGAAAAGCACTAAATATGAAGTTTGAGATTAAAAATTTAGTGCCTTGTAGATATCACATTTTTCTAACTGAAAAATTTTAGAAGAGTATAGAAGAATGGACATTTACCTACATATCCCAAAACAAAAATGAAGCGTGGACTATTTGTACCAGTCAACTTGTACCAGCTGACTTCTCTACATGGTGACATCGTAATTAAAAATACTATGTAACCAAAACATGTGTGCCCCTGTAAAACTCTGAAATAAAAAGTAAAACATAAAAATTTAATTGCCTGAGGTAGCAATGGAAGCTAAATATATATTGAGAACTGCATTATTCGATATGGTAGTCACGAGTCACATGTTGCGATTTAAATTTGAATTTAGAGTAATTAAAATAAAATACAATTAAACATTCAATTCCTCAGTCACACTAGCCACATTTCAAGTGCTCAGTCAGTAGCCACATGTGGCTGGTGGTTAGCATATAGGACAATGCAAATATAGATTTCCATTTTCACAGAAAGTTCTATTGGAGGGTGCTGTATGATATTTCCAATTCCTGAGCTACAGTGAGCTTGGCCCTAAAGATCATGAAATCATAGTGTGTTTTCCTTTAACAGTGATTATAATGTCCCAACATCACCTTGGCTACAAAAGCAGAGGCTGAAGTGAAAGTTGTGTTACTGGAATCTGAATGACCTTTGCTAGATTGAAGGAGCATGTTGACCTGACGCTTCCAATGTCAGGAAAAAGTTGTTTTGGCTTCCAAAAATGGATAGGCAGGCAGGTAGTTTTCAGAGATTTTACAATCCCATATGCTATAATTATCTTTTTAGGGAAGTGGGGAGAACTATTTACCACTCATCTCTTCTAAATATTCAGCTCTTAACTGTCAGATTCTGTACTAAAGAAAAGGTGACACATGATAGCATTCTGAGGTGATAAAGTATGTTTACACTATGAAATTTTCTGTTAGTCTTATTATTTTTGACGTCTGTTGAAAGACTGAGCCTGGATTTGGGGACATGGATGTGCAAAGTAGGGGGAGTCACAGTGGGAGGAGAGAGTATTAGTAAACGGGATCTTGAGTTCTTAAGCAATAATCCCGTCCCCAGAGAGTTTTTTTTTTTTTTTTTTTTTTTTTAAGTAACAGCTGAAAGGTCACCTTAATTCTTATCCTCAAAGACATTAAGTGAGAAGGATTAAGAGCTTGCTAGAATTTTCTAATAAGACAGATTGTTACTAGAGCTGAAATAGATCAAACCATGAACAAAATGATTTACACAAATCTGAGGAAACCTGCTTTCACCTTGAATTGCCTGGACAGTTTATATTAAGCCATCTCTGATTCAATCTGAATCTCCTCAGTTCTCTATTTCACATTTTCAATAATATATGATTATCATTATTCAATTTGTTATTGCTATGTAGACTGCAGTGATTTATTCTTTTAAAAGTTTGTAATTCATCAATATTCTGTACATTTAACAAAAGAATGGAAGTTTTAAAAATTAGTTTCATTAAGCAAGAAAATAAAAACACAATGTGACTTGAACATTCCAGACTGACCAGAATTGTTTATTGTTAAGTGATTTTAAGTATGTTTGTTGACCCATAGTAGATAATAAAGAGTGGTGCTTAGATTTAGATTTGAGATTGTCAATATTTTATTCTTCTTGACTAGAGCAGCAGACACTGGTTTGTGTGGTATGAATATAATTCAGGAGAAACTCAAGGTATATAAAAATTCAGGGAGTCCTTCAGTCTCGAACAGTCCAGATTTTTTTTTTCTGAATGATGGTAACCAGATCTGGACAGTAATGGGTGTGATTAAAATAAGCTTCCAGTCAGTCTTCTTAAACAATGCTTGTTCTGTCAAGGAAAGGGGAAAACAAGTTAGATATTGATCACGTCTTTTAAGAAAGGAAATTCAAGGAAATAATGTAAAGTGCAAAAGATAGAAAAAGCACAAAATGAATTAGCACTTACAAGGTAAACCATTTCCTAGTTGTAAGAACCTGGTTGCAAGTGCTTGAATTTGGACCGTTATAACATGGTTCTCTAGAGCAGTAATTGTTAAAAATTACTTTAGTTATGCAAAAAACTTAGGCCCATGCTTTTATCAGTGTTATGTTTCAACTAAGTTAGTTAACTAGTCTCTGATTTGTTGACTCTCCACTGCATTGCGGTAGTACAGTCAGAAAGATAGGGTTTACAGATGGAGGCAAATGCTTCATAAGTTTTTGCTTATACACTTATATAAAAATGTTCTATTTCTAAATAACCTGTCTCAAGGAGTTAGTGTTTTATGGTTAATGTAAATATCTCTTAATTAGGAACCAATTTTAATTATATCTACAGCAAAAAAGTGAAGCTGTTAATTTTTTTAAAAACACAATGTCAATAAAGGCTTACATATTAAAGAGGGAACAGGTATATACCTTGAGTGCTCCATTCAGACAGACATGATATGCTTAACAAAAGCTGTAGGGGCAATACAGACAATTTAGAGTTAGAAAACAGTCAAATTTAATAAAAGAAAGGTTTAGAAATTTAGCTCAATCCTAATTACTCTTAGCAGTAGAGTTCATTTTCTTAAGCTCTGTATAGCCCACAATTCTTAATACTGGATTTATGACCTTTGCCCTGATTTTATCAATTTAATTTTTTGAAGAAGTGGTACATTTACATGGTTAAATTTTTTTTTTTTTGAGAGACAGCGTCTTACTTTGCTGCCCAGGCTGGACTCAAACTCCTGAGCTCAAGTGATCTTCTTGCCTCAGCCTCCCAAGTAGCTGGGACTACAGGTGCCCAGCTACAGTTAAAATTTTTCTTTAAAGTATAAAAGGGTATACAACACACACACAAAAGTTCCTCACCACTGTCTGCCAGCCACCTGGTTCCCCTCTTTATAGCTAAGTTAACAGAGCTGTTTACACATATATAAGAACATGTAAATATATGTTTCTAAAAGCCTTTTTAATACAAATAATGGTGTACTCTATATACTGCTTTATACTTGATTTTCTCAATTAATAATTTATCTTGGAGATATTACTATAACCGTATACAAGAGTGTCCTTATTTTTTAGGACTGCAGAGAATTTCATCACGTAGATGTATCAGAATTTATTTGACACATTGTACATCAATGGACATTGACTTATTCAAATATTCATTACGAACAGCACAGTAATGAATAGCCATGTATATATGGTCATTTCACTTGAGTGCAAGTATTTCTAGAGACTAAGTCTCTTGAAGTAGATTTGCTACAATTAATAGTACCCTACTAATCACCTAGGAGTTTTAACAATGTATATTCCCATCAGTAATGTGTGAAATTGCCTGTTTCTATACACAACCTCCTTAATGTAAACTGTGGCCAAACTTTTAATCTTTGGCAGTCAGCTGATTGAAAAATGATACCTCTGGTAGATTTAACTTGCATTTCTTTTATTATTGCTGTAGTTTGTCATTGTATATTTATATTTATTTTTATTTTCTTTTCTGTGAATTATCTGTTCATGTACTTGCTAAAGTTTCTATTGGATGGGATCTTTAATTAATTTATAGTAGTTCTTTCTTTTTCTAGAATTTTAGCTCTTTTTGATATTGATTGCAAATATCTTTTTTTTCCTCTGGTTTGCTATTTGACTTTTGACTTTGCTTCTGGTGGCTTTTGTCATACAGATTTTTAAAAAATTGTGCGTGTGGTTGAATTTATCAAAATATTCAGTGTTTCTGAATTTTGTATCATTGTTAGAAAGAATTGACCATTTTAAAGTTATAAAGTAATTCTTCCATGATTTTTATGCTTTTTATGTTTTTGGCTTTTACATTTTACATTTAAATTTTTGACCTATTTGAAATTTATCCTGGTATAAGATTCAGATTTGAATTTATTTTCTAGATGACTATCCACTTGTTCAAACAATATTTATTAAATGATTATTCTGTGTAAAGTATTTGTGGCAATAACCAAATGTGAAAAATTATTTATAGGAAAAAAGAGAAGTTTAATCAAGATTCCTGTTCTCTTCAATGTTTTTCCTCTTCTTTTTTTCTTACTTTTTTTTAAGTTGTGGGTCTTTATAAGCCTATATTTACATCAAAGCTATCAACACAGCTTTATTGAAATGTGGCTAGATTAGTCCTCTTTGGAGATAGATATATTTTCAATTTTTGTAGAAATTATTATTTGCAAATTATATTATACAACTATATTTTGCACCTTTGTATTGTGTAGTAGATTGCTTTCACACTCTTTGGGTGAAGTTGCTGTAAATTTGTAGAAGGACATAAACAACTGGCTACTATGAGATGACTTTCATTTTAAAAAGAACAATAGACGTGGGGAAGAATTAGGTTTTAGCGACAGCCCTGCCATTAATGATTTGACCTTCACAAAGTAACTAAACCTCTTTGGCCCTCAGTTTCTTCATTTTTATAATTGCTTGATATTAGTAAATGACTCTGAGATTTCTTCAATTTTAATATTCTATTAAATTTGATTCTAACATAAACCCTGCCTGTCTTCAAGGGATGTTTTGAAGATCTAACAAAAAAATACATGTGAAAACACATGTTAAGCTGTAAAACATTGCACAATCTTACTAAAATACACTGACAAAAATCTTATTTTTAGATTCAAATCCGCACAGACTATCTTTTTGAGTTATTATGCAATTGATGGAAATAGGTATGTCAATAAGAAAGGAAGAGGAAAAGAAGTTATTTTAAGTTCAAAAGAAGTCCATCATCCACCCCATCAGTTAAGATTGCTGTAACCACCAGTGCACGTTGCTTGTACCTTCATAGTTGATGCATCCATTGGAGTCTTCTTGACCCTTCATCAGGGCTTCCACTTCTTCCTCTTTCATCTTTTCACCTGATAAAACAAAACTCTTCTTTCAGAAAGAAGGCCACATGGTATTTTCAAAATTCCACCATAGGTTGCCAGTCAGGGACTCCTGGAGACTATGACTAAACTTTTTGGGTATAGGAACTGTGCCCTTCCTGTTCCTCTGGCCCTTAGTAGGTTCTCAACAAACTGTGTTTGAATGAATTAATTAAATACACATTATTGCTAGTTATACACACTATATCCTATAAGAACTACAGTGCTTTATTTTACTTATTCATTACCAATATTTTAAGTAACCATTTCCCCAAAACAAACTCACTGCCACTGAGGCCAATTCATTTTTCCTTTGTAGTTTTTCCTTCTACCTATTTTGGTTATCATATGATTCTCCTGTCATGTTCTTTCCTATATATTTTGTCTTATTGAGTGCACCGGAATAAATTCTCCTTACCCAGGGTGGCTAGAACGTGGCGGAGTTCAGCGCCCATGACTGTGCCATTGCCTTCCTTGTCAAACACACGCAGACCCTCAACAAAATCTTCATAGGTACCCTGGTCCTTGTTGTTGGAAATTGCTTGCATCATGGGCAGAAATTGTTCGAACTCAATTTTCTTGGCATTCATCTCTATAAGAAATGGCAATTTTGAGAGTTATTAGCTACTATGATACCTTCTCTGAGTCACAAATTAAACTTGAAAGTTTATCCTAGATGATCTAAAAAATTTCCACACAGCTTCAATTTCAGCTGGTAAATTGTTAAAAATGACAAAAAAAATATAGTAATAGATAAAAGCATGAGATCTAGCGTTCTAGTACCTGAGCTTTTATCCACAATCTACCCTTTACAACTATATGACAGTGGGCAAGTTTGTTAACTTCTTTGTGCTTCAAATTTTCATCTGTAAAATAAAGATACCTCACAGTGTTATAGTGAGAATCAAATGAGCTAATGTATGCAAAATTTATATTAATACCTAGGACAAACTGAGTGCTTAATAAGTATAAGTCACTATTTTATTGGTATTGTTCATCTAGTATTTCCCATAAATACTAGAGAAATAATAGAAAAATATATTGAGACATTAATATAACAAAACCATTAGCATGTAAATATAGAAAAACTTAACAGAAATTTAGTTTATATTCCACCTTTGTCCCTAGCTTTTGTAGAGCCTTCAATTTCTTTAAATTTTAAATAATTTAAAAAGAAGCTTATGAGGAGACTGTGTGTGCCAAATATTCTGGGATTTCCTGACTTTTTCGTGATTTAGAGGCCTGGAGATGATAGGATTTTTTTAGTATCTTCTGACAAGGTAAATCTTATTAATGGCAAAAGTATAAATAGACTATCCAGATGTATGCAAATGATAAAGTTATATACTCTCAAAATCAAGATTTCCTTTTACTACTCTTTCCTCATAGACTAGAAATCTACATTTCTATTTACATATAATTTCTATCACATGTCATTTCTATTTCTACATTGAGATTACATTGAGTAATATTAAAAAGATTAAATTTGAATACTAAATAAATGAGCATTTTTTTTACTGATTTCATAAAGGATGAATGTTTGGTAAGTTAGAAAATGCCATTTAAAAATAAGGTTTGGCCTATAGTTCCTTCTCTTTATCTCATGATTTCAGCTAACTTCTGCATGAATTAACAGGAAATTTTTTTTTTTAAATGGGAAATTTTTTTCCAAAGAAAATGAAATCTGAAGAATATCCCAGGAGACTGATTTTGAGGTAAGTTTTCTTGAAATCAGGTCCCCCCCTCTTTTTTTGACAAAAAATAGTCTCCAAAACATTTTCAGTTATCAAGGAGAAAAAAAAGATTATCTACCCCTCCTTCCTCTTTTTCCAAATGGTAAAGATAAACATCTCACATATTTACTTGAAAAAATTTCAGTTTTGTATCTTGTTTTTTCTAAAAATTATCTTTAATTGCCATAATAATGCCATAATAATTATACATCTCTATGGGGTATAGTGTGATATTTGCATACATGTATACAATGTGTAATGATCACATCAGGATAATTAGCATATCCATCACCTCAAACAATTATTATTTCTTTGTTTTGGGAACATTGAAGATCCATTCTTTCAGCCATTTGAAAATATACAATAAATTATTGTTAATTATAATCACCCTGTAACACTGTAAAACACTAGAACTTATTCTTCCTAACTAGCTGTACTTTTTGTATTGTTAATAAACTTATGGCTCCCCCTCTGTGTCTGCCCTTCCCCGCCTTTAGTAAGTACTATTCTATGCTACACTTCCATGAGTTCAACTTTTTTAGCTTCTGCATATGAGTGAGAACATGGGGTATTTTCTTTCTAAGCCTGGTTTATTTCACTTAACTTGATGTCCTCCAAGTTCATTCATGTGGCAGCAAATGACAGAATTTTGTTCTTTTTTATGGCCAAATAGTATTTCATTGTGTATATATACCACATTTTCTTTATCCATTCATCTGTTGATGGACACTTAGGTTGATTCTGTATCTTCGCTATTATGAATAGTGCTGCAGTAAGCATGGATGGAAGATATTTCTTTGAAATATTGATTTCCTTTCCTTTGGATAGATACCTAGTAGTGGGAATGCTGGATCATATGGTAGTTCTATTTTTAGTTTTCTGAAGAAAGTCCATACTGTTCTTCATAATTTACATTACATAATTTACATTGCTAATTTACATTATCACCAATTGTATTTGAGTTCCTTTTTCTTTTCATCCTCACGAGCATTTGTTATTTTTTGTCATTTTGATAGTTGCCATTCTAACTAGGGTAAGATGATATCTCATTGTAGTTTTGATTTGCATTTTCCTGATAATTAGCGATGTTGAGCATTTTTTCATGTATCTGTTACTCATTTGTATGTCTTCTTTTGAGAGATGTCTATTCAGCTTATTTCCTCATTTTAAAATAAGATTATTTGGTTGTTGTTTTTTTTTTTTTTTTGCTGTTGAGTTCTTTGAGTTTCTTGTATGTTCTGGATATTAATCCCTTGTCAGATGAATGGTTTGCAAATGTCTTTTGTTTAGAGTGGCATTTTCCCATTATACTTCCATTATACTATTATACTTTTCCATGAATCACTGGGGTTAAAATTAATTTCCTTGTTCCAGACTAATGACTGGATTTCTGTATTGAGTAAATGACTTTTGCAATCTTGCCACTTACATATCTGATTTTTGTCCCAGGATTTACCTTAGGGGAAGGAATGTAAGTTTTGGCTTAGAATTTTAAAGATTTTTTAATAATTTTTTGGAAATAGAAAAATACTCTTATTAAGATGTCATATTGTCTATTCTTAATTAAAATAGCTGAATTTATTTTAAGATGGTCCTGGAAGGAGGGTGTCAAAGGAAAGAACACAAGGCAGTCAGCATGTATTTTTCAGTTGCTTAAAAACACTGAAATTTCATTTCCATAGCTTTTATCAGAGATTTTCCTCTACAATTGTGCCATTGTAATTTACTCAGAATTGTTTATAAAGTGCATTGTGTTTTAGTCATATGTAACATCTTTCTTAAAATGTTTAAAAAAAATTCTCCTTTGAATGTTTGAAATTTGAAAAAATGTATAGATTTGGATATTATTTCATTTCATTAGACTTTATATTCTGAACATTAGATAAGATGATGATGTTAGCATTAGATATTATTTTCTTTCATTAGCATGACATTTTATCATGCTTGCAAATTCTCAAAGGAAGGGTAACTTATTTTACGAGGGAAAAAGCTGAGACTTTAGATAGCCAAAAGGCACACTTACCACAATCAAGAGTAAAATGAGCCCTATTATGTGAAACTTATTTCTCAATAAATCTCATTCTCTCTCCCTCTTTCTCTCTCTTTCACACACACACTCACACACACACATGCACATACTTCCCTAAACTTCCACTCTTCTTGAAAAGAAAAAACAACTGATATAATTACCTTCATTGCTGGGATTTCCCAGAACTTTCTTGACCTCTGCATTGGTGGGATTTGTGCCCAGGGCCCTAAGGACATCACCGACCTGGCTTAAGGTGATCTTGCTTTCACCTGTTCGGTCAAACAGGAGGAATGCCTCCTTGAATTCTGCAAGAAGCAAGAAGCATTAGGGTGCTATTTTCTTCCTCAGACCTATTAATGAACCCTAACTCCATCAAGGATTCAGTTCAAATTCTTGTCTGTTTTACAACTTTTGCCAACTGCTCCAGTTGTTATCTTTGGACTCTTTCTTTTCCTGTCTCAAACTATCATTGGCAAATCCTTTTGGCATTTCTTTTTGGTATTATGTTAAAGTGGCATTTCCAGCTTATTATTGTTACTCAGATATGGCATATATTATTGTTAATTATTATTGTCAATCAGATATGGCAATTGGAGATCCTAGTTATATTTATTCATATATCCTTCATCTGCCTGCAAAGCAAGACTGGGTTAAGAAATTCTGACTCTTTAAGAAATCTTAATAATCTTTCGTATAGTTAACAAGATTAATGAAGTTTCAAGAAATTTTCAATCAGAGTAGTAGTATGTGAGTTTGACCCAAACTTCTCAAATTGTATAGAAAAACTCTCTCTTGGGGTACAAATTTCCTAGGATCTTCCCTTAACTAGTTTTCTCCAGGAATAACTTCATTTTTCAGAAAAAGTTTAGAAAGGCAAGAAAAACCTGTACATTCTATAGTATAGTAACCACTTCTACATGTGACTCTAGCAGGCTCCTAGTCTAATCAATACAGAGGAGAAATACTTGCTTGGATCTATTGCTATGATAATCTCTGTATACTTTACTCTTTTTTTTCAGATAATACATATGATAACATGTTATATCAGATTTAGAATTTAAGTATGCATTTTTAATTAACATTGTATGGAGATAATTGTAAATTCACATGCAGTTATAAGAAATGATACAGAGAGATCTCTTGTATACGCTGTCCAGTTGCCTCCAATGGTAACATTTTGCAAAATTATTGTGTATTATCATAACCAGGATATTCACATTGATAGAATCCATCAATTTTATTCCTATTTCTCTAATTACTTATACTCATTTGTGTGTATTGTATATGTACTAAATATATGTTTAAGTGTTGTCTATTCTTATTATAATTATCCTATTGATTGCTTTCCCTAAATTTTGTTGTCCTTCTTTTATTATAGAACTGGATTTGCCTTTCAAAATGATAATGACAAAGAATTTAGAGGTGTATACCAAAAAGACAGGAAAGTATGCTACTCTGGATTTGGGGGCCAGTAAAGCCACTTTAATTAAAACTTCTAAACTTAACTAGACGAAACTTTCTAGGAAACCCAAAGATACTGAAGGCGACTTGTTGGAATTAAGGCTAACAACACTCAAACAACCATTTGTGAATGATCTGGCAGAGGTGAAAACATGCTTTTTTGGCTGTCAGTGGTCTCAGATCAAAAGATGTTATCTAGATAAATTACTCAGCAAAATACTCTATCATATTAACCCTCCACCTCCTAATCTAAGATTGAATTGGACATTATATTCACAATTACCTATAGACTATGTTGCTATTCTTTGCTAAAATTGCCCCCTTGAATTCTATGCAATTTGACTATAACAGACCATTTCCTTACGGTAAAAAAAAAATGCTTGCAGTCTCTGTGGAGTCATTAGTCAAATATTATTTTTCATCTTTCTAAGGGACATGTGAAACTGAACTATTCTTGTTACTGGCTCCAGGCTTTCATGCACAGGCTGCTCAGAGGTCTCACTATTACCCTGGTCAGGTGCCAATGTAGAAATAGGATTTTATGGGCTGTAATAGAATCACTCTGACATTAACAGTTTTGGTGATTTAAAAGCAGAGTCCAGAAAGATACTGTTTTTCTTACCCCAGATTTTTAACCTACGACTAAGTTATTCTCTTGAAGAATTTACAATAAGATGGGCAAATTACATCCCAGGAGCTAGCTACCTGTTTCTGTAAATAAAATTGGATTAGACTACAGCAATGCCCGTTCTCGTATGTATTATTGTCTGTGGCTGCTTTCACACCTCAGTGACAGAGTGGAGTTGTTTTTACAGGAAAATGCTGCCAGCAAAGCCTAACATTTTTATTATTTAGCCCCTTTAAAAAAAGTTTGTTGACCTCAGTCTGTAACAGTACTGTTCTTGAACTTTTTAGTAATGATGAAGGTGTTCTCACTCTTTACTGCCCCAAAAGGTAGCTACTCACTGTTGCTCTTGAACACTAAAATGTGACTAGTGCAACAGAGGAAATAGATTTTTAAATTTATTTATTTATTTTTTGAGACAGAGTCATATTACTGTGTTGCCTGGGCTAGAGTGCTGTGGTGTCAGCCTAGCTCACAGCAACCTCAAACTCCTGGGCTCAAGCAATCCTTCTGCCTCCGCCTCCCAAGTAACTGGGACTACAGCCATGCACCTCCATGCCCGGCTAATTTTTTATATATACACTTTTAGTTGGCCTATTAATTTCTTTCTATTTATAGTAGAGACAGGGGTCTCACTCTTGCTCAGGCTGGTTTTGAACTCCTGACCTTGAGCAATCCACTCGCCTCGGCCTTCCAGAGTGTTAGGATTACAGGTGTGAGCCACCGCACCCAGCCTATTTATTTTTAATTAATTAAAGTTTAAATAGCCACATGTGCCTAACGTCCACTCTACTGGGCAGCATAGGACTTAGACTTTTAGAATTCTATATTTTTCTGATTGGTTTTTTTGTCTGTTTGTTTGTTTTCCTTCCATGCTGTGATACATTCAAATAAGAGCACCTATGAGTAAAATTCTTTAATCATTAAACAAGGAAATAAACTAAAGAAATCTAAAGTATATGATTTCTATTTAATTTAAAATGCTTATATATAAACTTAACACTTGTACCCTCATAATACGCTAAAATAAAAAAAATAAAAAATAAATAAAATGCTTACATTTGTTTTCCTGACACAGAGAAAACCAGTCCACTACACTCATGTTTGCTGAGCTTCTGTATCTAAAATCTATTTCATGTGTGAATTAACAGGTTTAATGTTCAACAGTAAGTCCTTCCATCCCTGCAAGGGTTTTTAAGTCTTCCATTGCTTGGCCCAACAATAGTTTGGCAGTCACAATAACAGTGTAAATGACAGTGGACTGGAAGGCAGTAGCTGATAATGTAGCAGCATCTGTAGCTAAAAATGCATTAAAAATAAAACAAATTATAGTTGAATAACTGCCTTTTTTCGATTAAAAATAGTCCTTCATAGTATAATTTCAAAAGATCTTGAGTTATGAGTCAGCAAATCATTGAATCTGTCTACATGAGGCCATCAGCCATGATGTAGATGCATGAATCTGTACTACCGCAAATATCCTTTTTTCTTAGTTGATGTCCACACATAAAATATTTCAGACACTGAAACAGACTGAAGAATGTGGAAATTTTTAGGTAGATAACTGAGTATTTGAATAGGTATTTATTAATCACCTATAATGATAATTATTTATATCTTCTATATCATTATATGTACATACTTAGTATGACCAATATTCTAATATAAATATCATATAACACAATTTTTCTCCCCCTTGCTTCTCTCAATGTATTTGTGTCTCAGTCCATTTAGATATGTGACACTATCAACTCCATAAAACATTCTTCCCTGAACTTCATAATGAAAACATCAGGGTCCTGGGATCTATTGAAACCAAGGGCCCAAAGGGAAAAAGGTTGAAATATTAGGAAAACTATTCAGATTCTCTTGAATCTTAAAAGAGTTTGGAGCATCCTAGTTAGTAACTGTTTTTATGAATAAATTACTAACCAATTTAAACTAATACTAGATTTTGTTCCTATCACTAATTCTTTGGGCCCTTGAGCAAGTCCTATCATCATCCGGAGAGCTGTCCTGCAACTCTAAGGAGGGGCTGGACCAGGAGACATCTAATATTCCTTACACAGAATTTATCTAATATAAGGAAGATTAGCTCTGATAAATTATCCTTTATCTCTGTCTCTGAATTCACTTTTATTCTGCAACTCAATATGGTGCCCATGGAAATTATGTAGATTTGGTAACTGGGCAGTTATATAATCAATTTTATTTTCCAAATTGAACAATTCAGACTTGTCAGATTTCTCTTTATGGATTTAATTAGCAAATTTGCCATCTAAACTTTACATCCTTTTTTAGGTATTACTTATTATATCAAATTGGTTTTATTTAGACATCAGTGAATATAGGACCTATTTTGTGGTGTTTATCTTTTGTTTGTTAAATCTTTGATTACTGATTATAAGCAAGAGTTTCAGGTTGAGCTAATTTATATTTAGAGAGATTGAGAGCACTTGATATTTAGAGTGGCAACACCTAGTGGAGATAATTAGGAAGCGCTAATCTCACCCAAAGTGAGTTGGTTTTCTCATATGCCATCTTTATGAGTGTACACATTTAAGGACTATAGCTTTTAAACTTACCATCCTGCTGTTCCTTAGAGAACTCGATCTGTCAGAAAGAAATTAATCACAAAGAATGTTTTAACCAAACAAAACTGTCCTGATATTTTAAGTGTGTCCAGCTCATTCCCTGAGTAATCTTCAAAGTAAGCTCCAAAAATCAGCCTACTTTTCAGAATTCAGGCAGAGCTTGGACACTAACAGGTTGAGCCACAAAGTAACATGCCTTGAAGATAAGTGATATTTCAGAAACTAGGCAGTTTTGTGCTTACATCTGCAGTAGAGAAGCTCAATTCACTTACCAGCAATCTGGTCAGCACTGAAGGACTGCAGTGGCGACGAAGAGAGAGATAAAAAGAAACAACTAGTACTTTTTCAAATGCATTGGCAGAAGAATGAGTGCTCTCTGCTCTGAAATTTTTAGGAAATCGTGTAGATATCTTGGCATAAGAAGATTGCCTTAGGGTACTTTTGAATCTAGGAACATAAAAAGCTATTGCAAAAGATAATTAGAGAACATCTCTCTGTATCTTAATCAATGATTTAACAAATGCTAGATTAAATACTTCCTGGAACAATATAATAATCTATGGTGTGTTTAAGATGTGTCTAATAAGACATACTGTATTAAAAAGTACAGATATACTGCATTAAAAAGACTACCATAAGTCTTTCTGCTGTTTAGCCAATATTAGTATAGAAAACTCAATGAACTGAAAGCAGTTTACTTAATTTTAGCTATCAGCATCATTGGATTGTATTTTGAGGTATAATATTTTGCTGTAGTTGCAGTTTTTCCTAAATTTACATGTAATAAAACGTGATATAGCAAGAATTGGTGAAGCGTAAAGTACGGCTTTTGGGAATAAGATGTATTTTTCCAGTTGGCATAACAGCTCTAATTAATCTCTAGTCTCCTAAGTGCACCTCAACAAAAACCAAAAGTAGATTCTAAGGATTCATACTGAATATGTTCTTTCCTTAATTCTATTTTTTGTCTGCTTTTCTTCTCAATAAGATCATATTCACTATCTATATCCTCCTATAAATGACAGAGTTTTCTTGTAGGACCCACCATGATGGAGTTGCTGGGCTGCAGAACAGCTGGGAAGCTGAAGAGTGAGTTCGGGCTGCTCCGGTCCCTGAGTGGGGTCCTGTCTTGCTCAGGCTTGCTTTTATTTCTGGGCAAGCAGTGACCTCACAACTAGCATCGGGTTTCAGAGAGAAGTTGCCACTCCCCTTGGAGAGTTTTTTAGCTTTCTTAGGGCAAAGGGAAAGATGGATGTCTCCCCTGAGGGCTATTTTTAGGTAACCAGAACCCAGGAGTAGTAGACAGCCTTAGTGAGACTGAAGCCTGTCAGTACTTTTATGGTCTTCATCTCTGAGATATTCCCTGGGAGTGACTTCCTTTAAGAAACTTCTTCTCTATTCCGTGGCAAGAGAAGCTTCGGATTTCTTTATGGTCTTGGGCTGGACCCTTCTCTTAGTGAATTATGGACTTTGCAAACTTCTAGTCAGCAAGTTTTGGTATTAAAGGAACTTTTCGGATGGGACTGGTTTGGGGTTTCAAATGGCAGCTGCCAAAGAAGGCCTCTGAAGCTCTGTCTTTAAAGTTCAAAGTACTTGAAAAGGCCATGCATGTTCTACGTGTTGCTTAGGGTGCACCTAACGGACAATCCAGGCAGTCTTGCAATCTCCATTTAAAGACTATCAGTCCAAGTTGTATTCTCAGGAGTAAATCTAAGACAGGAATGGTTTTGATTTCCATTTTTCACCATTCTCCCTTAGTCTTCTGACATTAAGTCTGGGAATTTCTGACATTTTCCTCTTTTTCCTGTTATCTTTTTCATGGCTGAGTAGTGATATATTTCAAATTTCAGAAGTTCTTCTAGGCAGGATCAGATCAATTTTGCATTATTTTTCTCTCATTCTCTACATATTCTTTTACAATTTTGCATAAGTTCTTACTAGAACGTGCTGATTCTGTTTCTGTCTTGGCAAACACTTTACAGCTCAGTCTCTAGGAACCAAAAGAACCCAAAGCAGAGCTTGGGAAATGTAAAAGTGTTCTTTATAATTTTAAAGTTATATAAGGGATTGACCAGAAATGGGTTTTCATGGCAGCTTATCTGAAAATAGGGGACAACTCTCTTTGTAAAATGGTACTGGGAAAAGTGGTACTGGAAAAGATCAGTCTTAGGATGTCCACTGAGGTTCAGACAAAATGTTTATCAGTTTTCTACATATTTAAAGTAGCTCACAGGCATAAAGTATATTGGAGATAAATTAGAACTTGAGTAGTGCTTCAGCAACTGTTTCTAAGGGGGATGAATGCAAAACGCAGGAAGTTTGTAGCTTCCTTTCAAACCATTCCAGATGAAACCAACATTTAAATGCATATTTAAAAGCACTTTTGGCTCTAAGTTTACAAGTAGTGGGAAAAAAAAACACACCTTATTGGGTCTTGAGTCTCAAAATGAGGATTGAAAAGTATGATTTTTAAATTATTAGTACCCATGTACCCATGTAAATTCATACTTTCATAAATAGAATGCCATTTTGAAAGGCTATTGGGAAATGGAGATGAGTAGAAAAATTGAAAATGCTTTAAATTAGGGGGAAATAATAGAAGAGAGGGACAAAGGTGGAAATTTGTAAACTTTGATAATTGTGGAATTTGAAATCTCATAATTTTTGATACATAATTTAAAGCATTAGAGTAGAGCAACTTTTCTTTGTGTTCTTCTTTAGTTTTGTAATTATATTTATGTGATTGTGTCATTAAATTTGAATTGCCCTATGATTATTATTGACAATTAGCATATATCTTTAGTGGAGCTAATAACTATAAATAATGCAAAATTTACCATCAACATTGCCCTACTAGACATGATAATTTTTATATTTAATACTTTTTTTCAAGGAGAATAATATGTCCTCTTGGACATTTAAAATATAGTTAATTTGTGTCAAATCTGAGTTCAAAACTGCATTTATATTATGAATAAGTGATTCCTTCTTAACTACTTGGGCATCATGTAAACTTTTATTGTTATTAAAATAGAAGCAGTAAAATGGTAGGCAGTTGTCAAACTATTTCACCCTAGTCTTTCTCCATAGCTTTATCACAGAGAATGAGAGTTTAAATTTCTTTTTTTTTTTTGCACTTAATGAGAATCAAAATAAATAGTTGAGCCTTTTCTGCCACATTAGGGAAGGCTAGAGTACAGCCTAAGCTAGAACGTAAACTATAGTTTAAAAGTTAGAATACCTAGATTCTGTGCTCGTAGGATAAATGGGAAATGCGATTTATTCTCTGGTACACTTTTACAAATGACAAACCTCTCCTGTATAACATCTCTTCCCTGGTGTTATAATGATGAGGTGATCAGCCTTTGAACAAAGGCATGGTGTGAACGTCTGCTGATTTTGGCCTCAGTTTGCAATATCATCATTTGGTTTGTTTTAAACAATGGATTTAAGTCTCTTCTGTCTGGCATGTTCTTTTCTCATCTCTTCTGATCGCTCCTTTTCAGAAATTAAATATTCTTCCAAGCCCTGATAAAAGCTCTTCCTCTAGAAAGAAACGTCCTGTCTATGTTCTTCCCAGAGCTTTCTCCCACTGCAAGTTGCTTAACCTTCCTGATTGTGAACCTCTGGGAAGCGCAGGCCATTCCTGATAGCCCTCTGTTCCTGATTTGGACCCAGGTAGGGGCCTGCCCCAAACTCTCTTGCTCGAGCACTGCCCCTGCCTTATTCTTAGGTTTCACTCCCCATAACTCTATAGAATACCTGGCATATATTATAGATGATCAATAGATTTTCATTAATTAAAATCACTAGAACATATGCATACTAAGCTTCTCCTTCAAATGTAAGCTCCTCCTCTAGAATATTATACTCCCTGAGGGAAAGACTCCCCCTGTTCCTTCAAAGAGGGGCATGCATTCTTCTTCAGTGCTATCTCTAGCACCTAGAACTGGCTGGCTCATAGTAGCCATGCTCATTTTCAGTGTATGCACCTTTATATTTCTAGTACTTTCCCTTAGATTTTATGTAAATGTTTGTTATCTGGACTTCTAATTTGCCAAACTCCGATTTGATTTTTTTAAAAAATCTTTTTTTTTTTTTTAATTTTTGGGACAGATTCTTGTCTCTCATCCCGGGTAGAATGCAGTGGCATCATCATAGCTCACTGCAACCTCAAACTCCTGGGTTCAAGTCTCTCCTAAGTAGCGGGGATTATAGGTGTGTGCCACAATGCCCATCTAATTTTTCTATTTTAGCAAAGATGGGATCTATTTCTTGCTTAGGCTGGTCTCAAACACCTGAGTGTTTGAGTGATCCTCCCACCTTAGCCTCCCAGAGTGCTAGGATTACAGGTGTGAGCCACCGTGCCTGGCCTTAAGGGCTCTTTTTAATCCTAGCCCACATACTTATCTTAGAATGTTATAGTAAAATAGCTATGTTCCACATTTTTTATGATTCTTGTGCTATCATTTGGTATGTAGTAGGCTAAAACATACTGCTACTACTAAAAAGAATTTTTATTGCAATACTTACAGATTCTTATTCACTTCAAAAAGCATCTTTCTAATAGTAATTATGAGGTTTGGTTAACCAATGTAAAGATAAGACAGTTTCTGGTATATAGAAAAAATTAATTTATAAGAAAAATATTAAAATACAGTTAAATAAATAGGGTCTGCAATTGATAGATGTTTAACTTTATTTAGTACAGTAAAAGAAGAGCTATAATAAAGATCATCTGAGGAATATATGATGTTGAATAATGGGAGAAAACACCCTAGGAAAGAACATGAACTACATTCTTCAAAGACCTTCATCACCCCTGCAAGATACACTGAGACTAATGACTGGTAAGGCTAAGTAAGGAAGCTAATCTACCCAAAGCCAGTTTTCAATCAAGAGACCACTGTTGTGTGCTCTCTGATTTAATGACTGGCAAAGAGGCTAAAGACCTGGATACATATATAAACCCTTAGGAGAAACATAACTTAATTTTCACCCAATCTTAGAGTTTCTAGA